ACATCACAGTTATTTAGAAGGAGACGAACTCTGCAGTAGAAATAGAAAAAGATGTATTTATTTTTTACTCTGGTAATTTGAAAGATTCAACCCTTTCACCTCCTCTGTCACCGTCCTCTGCCCCGGCTCCGACTGAGGGTCGGGGGGTGTTGTCAGGCTCTGTCCAGGGTCAGGGACACTGGGTCGGGCTGGAGAGGACAGAACTCAGCACAGAGCTGCACTAATGAAGGGCCAGGAGGCTGGAAGGCCCTCGGGGGGGCAGGTTGTTCAGACACTGGCTTAATTGGTCTAATGAGATGCAGCGTGGCCTGAGTGAGGTCACCGACCTCAGGACAGAGGAGGACAAAGAGGGCAGAGAGGCCTGCTGCAGGTTCTTCTGTTCAGTGTTAAAAAATGAATAAATGTAAGGCATTTTAGACAAAAGAAACTCCAACCATTCACATTCACTTTGTGAAAATACTGCAGTTTAGCATTTTAGGCAAAAGAAACTCCAACCATTCACTTTGTGAAAATACTGCAGTTTTTCCACAGATAGATTTTTAAAAATATATTATTTTCATCTTTTCATCACGGTTTTCTTTAGGGAAAATAAAGAAGGTTCAGCATGATTTTAATTTAATTTATTTTTCTTTAAGTTGGACACAATTCAAATACATTTTAATTTGTTATTATGTATTCTCACCGTTTTTATGTGTGCGTGAACAAAATAATTAAAAAGCCGAGTGTATCTTTAACAAGAATAGACTGCAAACTTAAAAAAAAAAATCAAATCCTGACAACAGCAGACCTGCATTATATTTATTGATACGTCAAATATTTTCTTTATTCTAAATGACATTCAGGTGTAAATTAATAAAATAAATATTACATACAAATACAGACAGGACAGAATATTTTCAAATGACTTGATGCACAGTTGTAATAATAATAAAAAAAAGAGAAAAAAGAAAGAAATCCATGGTGTCGACTATTTAAACTATGATGGATTATTCAAATGGAGCTTAAACTGCAGAGGGATTGAATCAAACGGGGCTTTTCAGAGTAAAGAACCTTTTTTTCTCTCCTCAGTGAAAGAGTTAATCTGAAGTTGGCAGCCAACTCCGCAGTCTCGGTCAGACGTGCGCAGAATCGGAAAATAAAGGACTTCAGAATCATTACTTTTGTCCCGCTTTAAAATTCAGCTCAGGCTTTTATTTATAATTATTATTATTTCTGTTTCTCATTAAGCCTGAAGGACGAAACTGTATACGCACGAAACGCGGTCTGCATTTTTGATATATTAGAACATATAAACGTATATACCACATGTTAGTCTTTTAGGACATTTAAGGTAAATTTAGGTTAAATAGCGTCGCGCTTTTAATAAACGACGCTTTAAAATGGAGCTGTAACAGAACGAGCTCGTCTAAAGATAAATATAACACGGAATATTATTTATTATCACGGTTCATTTAAGGCCTTTGGTGAAACTGCAGATCATTTTTAAATAAACATGGTATTATTTTCATCTTATATAAATTAATATTAATCGATGTCGCGGTTTTTTCCAATGTTTCTGCCCAATTTCCATCGCCTTCCAGAAAGGTTGCGTGAATGACGTGTTCATATTTTCAGAATATAATTATTTTTTAATTTGCAGACATGAGTAGTTGATATTTAACAATCCATCTTTGCATAAACGGTTTGAAATTTAAATTGTTCCGTCTGAATGACTCTTATTACAGGTGTTGTGTCATATTTTGCACCACGGGCAAAATGAGGGCATAATATTGGAGCATGAAAAGCCAGTTTTTGGTTTTGTTTCTTTACTTAAGAGCTGAAAAAGCTGGAGGATTGTAGTACTTGTGTCTCAGCAAATACAGCTCGATATTCAGTATGATAACAAGTATTTGTAGTAGTAAAACGTAGAATTATTGGAGTGTTGTAAGAGAAAGCAAAGGGTGCCTTTTCTGGCACAACCCCTCACATTTTTACATACGTTTTGTTACTAACTTAAAAACACGCGATGCTGCACATTTTTTTAAATGATAGATCTACTGAATATTAACTGAGGAATTAAAAATGTTTAATTAATCCCTTGTGGATTCGTGTATTAGTAAATAGCAGTCGGCTGGTTACACGTTGTACGATTTAATTTAACATTTAACTCATAAATAGCAACACTAATGTATGAAATATCGATCAAATACGATTTAATTTAACATTTATATAACTCATAAATATCAACACTAATGTATGAAATATCGATCAACATCAACACAAATGAGAGAAATAAACATGAAACATTCTAAAAACTCTCTAAACGGTCGTGTTTTGTGACGTTCGCGCCTTCGCGGGGTACATTTTATGACAGGTGTGCCAGTTACGACGGAACACCTTAGCCAGGCTGTGGCTAAAGTTAGGGGCTAGATCGTGGCGGAACATTCTACACGGACAGACGCAGGTTTAGGGCCGTGCAAACCGAAAGACGGTAGAGTTTCTCCTTCTCTCTCCCCCTCTCCCTCCCTCCCTCTCTCAGTCCGGGGTTGTTTGAGGTGAACAGGTGCTTAATAGCTTTTGTCCTGTAGCTGAGCAGCGACTATTTCCTGTCCTCGGCAAAAACGCTCCTCAATAAGATCGACTGACAGTCAGCACCGGTGCTGAACGTTGGTTGAATTAATTAAAAAATCCAAATTCAGGTAAGGTGGAAAATAAAACCTTATGCAAAATAAAACTGTGAACTTCAGCTTTTGGCGATTATTTGCATATTTCACACGTACTCTTTCAGAAAGGAATACACGTCCGACGTCGTTTTAGGTGAAGCACAGCTAAAATGACATCAATCCTCCATTTTAGAATTTTAGTCAAATTCCACTGAATTCTAAATTCCCTGTGTTTGCACTATGGGTCACACACAGAGCTTTAAATATCACTTAGAGGGATATGGATTTTTATATTCTGTGTGTGTATGTTTTCTTGCTGTTGAAATGAGGTTAAAGTTGAAATGTAAACATAAAATATATACTGTATATGAGTGTGTGTGTGAATCCAGGGCCGGCTCTAGTCATTTTCTCGCCTTACGTAAAAATAAAAGGAACCTGGTGCCTTGTGACATTGTAGTTGTTGACATTTTATTCCAGGGCTGATGTTAATATTATTAGTAAATTAGGATACATTGTCTTTAAATTTTTATTACACTATTATTTTACTGCAGCTAAAAAAAATACATTAAAAAGGCAGTTTTGGAAATTTTTACATGAGCTAAAAAACTGCTTTAAAATGGTAAGAATTAACAAAATATATAATTTAAGTGTATATATTTTGTTATGTTTTTCAGTATGAATAATGCATTATTTATTCAGTAAAACACTCTTTTTAGTTTTCTCCTCTTGGCTGTTCTCAGCGTCGTTGGTGATTATGTTAGCATCTTCTTCATCATCTTAAATTGACTATTTATTTTCTCAGTCTGACCAGAGCCGTATCCCTTACCGTAAACACTTAATGTCTGACACTAACCTCAACCTAAACACAATTCACCTCCTAATCCTATTTAACCAAAGTCTCATTAAGACCAGACTTTGTCCACCGAGGACCACTGCTCTGTGGAAAACCGGTGTTTATACTGGAAAAGATCTGCACACACACATATACACACAGGCACAAATAAAGGTTTTCATGGTTACACTTGTTTTGGTTTGGTAACCCCAACACTAATCATCGCTAGGACTGGAAATTAGCTTTTACCTCAAAGCAAAAAGCCAAGAGGTATTTAAAAATTAAGTGCTTATACAAATGCAGACTCCCCTGCCCCCTGACCCCCCCCAAAAAAGTCTCTCTCACTCACACACACACACACACAGCTGGACCAGAGGTGTGTGTTCCTTTTTCTAAGTAGTTTTTAATCTCTGGTCAACCTCAGCGGCCACTGCCTTTAACAATAATTAAAAAGATAAATTTGAACGTCGACCTGAACTGGCGTTGCAGCTGAACACAGGGTAATTTTTCCGCAGCACAGTGAAAAATCAGATCAGGAATATAAAAAAGAATTTGTTGCTTTGTCTACAAAACACAAGGAAGCTGTGGAAAATCTCTGGTGTCGCGGTCACATGACGACGCTCCCGTTTCATATCATATGCATGAAATTTTATCAAAGGTGACAGGTGTGAAGTATGAAACAATGTTTTTGTTTGTCAGATACGTTGACGTCGACACCATTTATAATAGTTAGAAATACACGTGCCAATATTTGATATCTGTGCACAGACATGAAAATGATGTCATTTCTGCAGGACCGGGTCCTAATGCTGTTTTGTTGTACATGTTTTTGCAGTATTCCTTCTCTTATTTATAATTATTCATTATTTTGGGCTGAATTTATTCTCTTTTTTTTCTTAAATATGTGAGTGTAACATCAGTAGACCCTACTGTGGGGGTTGACTGACAGCGTCCTGTTTGCCGACTGGTGATTCTTTGAGTAATCGCAGGGTTTTCGTAACGCAGCATATTTGTGTCTTTGCAGCCACAGTCGTACACCGTGGGTCTGCGATTTAGCTGCACATGTGCTTTCACGCTGCCCGTCTGCAGAGCAGGTGCCACCCCTGAATGATGTGCTGTGTGTTACGGCAACATGGCAGCCGCTGTCGTTCCCCTCACGGAGAACGCCAAATCCTCCTGGGAACCCGGTTGGAAAGCTTGGAGCACATTTGGGTGCTGGGGGTTCTGGAGGGAGACGGTTCCAGTCTACCCGACTGTTTCTCCATGAGTGCAGCTCAGGGAGATTCTCGTGTCTTTGCGCTCGCTGCCCCCTCCCATCCTTTAAAATTTCAGTGACCATTTCTCCACTTGTGCTTCTGAATCATCTCCTCACTCATGTCCGTGTGTGCGCCGCAGCAGTGTGGTCGCCTGTGTTTGTTTCTCCCTCTTTGTTTGCTGTGGCAAACTCATGAGCAGCTGCCGCTGCTGGTGGTGGTGGTGGTGGTGGTGGGGGGGTAGCAGGGGTCTGGAGGGATTCTGAAGCTGTGTGTCCTCTCTTTGCCATCCTCTGCCAAGGTGGCATTATGCAAGCAGACAGAGGGGTAGGGAGAGAGAGAGAGCGAGAGAGAGAGTCTGTGTGTGGAGGTGGGGTGAGGCACATAAGGCGATGGCGGCCATCATAAAGATGGAGGCAGGCAGGGGGAGCTGCAGGGACCGGTGCAGGAGGAGACTTGCTCCCCTGAACTTTGCCTCCGTGTCAGAGTGGAACTTGTCGATTTGGCAAATTGTGCAGCGTCGGACAAGTCTGCGCTCTCCCTTACACTCCCACCTGCTCTCTCTCTCTCTCTCTCTCTCTCTCCCTCCCTCTCACTGCCACTACTCACCCCTCACCCCCTCCTCCTTCTCTTTTCCCTCCCTTTCAGCTCTTGAAGCTAACGCATTGGCTGGGCTACAGGCGTCGCGTTGCCAAATAGGTGGGCCTTACTCGTGTTGGCAAAGACTCAAGCAATGGAAGGATAAGGGAAAGAACGCGGAGAGGACGAGAGACGGCGAGGGAGAAACAGAAAGAGAAAGAGAGAGAGAGTTGGAGAGAAAAGGGGAAAAAAGAAGCAGCACTCGGCTCTGCCAGCGGTCGTATGCGCTCGTCCAACATTGATTCGGCTCTCTTTTTTTTCCCTATTCTGTGCTCTGCTCTCCCTGGCCCCCCCATCTGTGTGTGTGGGGTGTGTATGAGTGTGTGTGAGTCCTGTGCCGGGCCCAGGGATCAGAACAGACACCACTAACAATTACACTTTGCCAAGGACTTTTTTTTTTTTTTTTTTTTTTTTTAATTTAGATTTTTTGGAAAGCACAAAGGACTGTTTATTTTAAGTGCATCTCTCCCCACTCTGAAAGTTTTTTTCTTCTCCCTTATGTTTAATAATTTTTTCTATTTTTACCGTGTAGGCTTTTTGGCTACTTTCTGATCTGTCCTTTTGGTCATTTCTTTTTTTAAATTGTTTATTTTTGTCTGATAATCTGCTGGCAAAGTTTCTACTGCAGATCTTTTTTTTATTTCCTTAAATCTTGTGTTTTTTTTTTAAATTTTGGCTCACATCGTTTTATTGAGCATTATATTCTCCTAGTTGTTGTTTTTTTTTCAACCCTGCATTTTTTTTTTTCGTCTGCTAATTCTCTACACCCTGCCAAACCAGTGCTTGCTTTACATTGGGGAGCGCGGGAGGAAAAAAAAAACTGGTGCTGGAGATTTTTTTTTTCACTTTAAGCGCTGTGCCAAATTTATGATGAGAGTGCAAAATGGTAACTACCAGGCCGTCTGTCTTCCTCTAGCAGTGTGGTGGTTTTCTGTGGTGATTTCTGTCTGCTTTCAGTTTGTTGTGGAAATGTGAGTCTGGTTGGAGCTCCCTTGCATGGTACCAGAGATAGGCAATGGTATGGCTGATCTTTTAGCTGCACATTTCAACAGTGGTCTTGTGGCGGCAAAGCTTGGCGGTGGTGAGCGACCGGTGTGTGGCAACCCTGGCACAGGAACGCTGTGGCGAGATCTGGGCTTTGTTGCCCAGAGATATGTAGTGAAGGTATTATGGTACAGCAGAATAACTTCTTTTTTTTTTTTTTTTTTTTTTTTCCCTCTCTCTCTGTAGCAGAGAAACGGGAGCGCAGACTGGGCTCAGCTTTTCAGTTGCTGTTGTGTTTGAATTGTTTTCTGTATTTATTGTCTTTGTGGTAGTTTATAGAAAAAGATGCCGCCTTGTGTGTTTAAATATTATTGTTATTATTTTATTATTTATTGAATTTTAAATTGTATTAATTAAAATACTATTTTAATTTACATCAACATAATTAAGATAATTATTTTGAATTTTTGACAAATCTTCACGTCACTTATTTATTATAATTATTAAAGGTATTTATATATAAATTAAAATATTATATGAATTTGATTATATTTATATTTTTTATAATCTTTTTTTTTTTAATTGTTTTGCGTCTGTGGTTGTCTAAATATTTTATGGATTTTCATGCTTGTTTTTCTCCCTTCTGACTCCACGCTCCTTGTTTCCTCCTCTTCAGGATGAATTTCATCCCTTCATCGAGGCCCTCCTCCCCCATGTCCGTGCCTTCTCATACACCTGGTTCAACCTGCAGGCTCGTAAGCGCAAGTACTTCAAGAAGCACGAAAAGAGGATGTCCAAGGACGAGGAACGCGCGGTGAAGGACGAGCTGCTGGGGGAGAAGCCAGAGATCAAGCAGAAGTGGGCCTCGCGCCTGCTGGCCAAGCTCCGCAAGGACATCCGGCCCGAGTGCCGCGAGGACTTTGTGCTCACCATCACGGGGAAGAAGCCCCCCTGCTGCGTGCTGTCCAACCCCGACCAGAAGGGCAAGATACGTCGCATCGACTGCCTCCGCCAGGCCGATAAGGTGTGGAGGCTGGACCTGGTGATGGTCATCCTGTTCAAGGGGAGTCCTCTGGAGAGCACAGACGGGGAGCGGCTGGTCAAGTCGCCCCAGTGCCTCGACCCCGGCCTGTGTGTCCAGCCGCATCACATTGGAGTGACGGTCAAGGAGCTGGACCTTTACCTGGCCTACTTCGTCCACACACCAGGTAAGTGGGAAACGTCCACTGCAGCATTTAAAAAAAAAACACACTTAATGAACACACACACACACACACACACACACACGTATATGGGTCAGTGTGTGATGATTCATTCTCACTGCGCACAGACTGGACCCTGCCCTTTATTATGTACAGAACTGATTCAGTGCCAGGCTTTAATAAACACTGAGGAGAGTCAGATAACGACCGCGTGTTCTCCGTTAAAGGGACAGTCCGCAGGTTTTTACCATAAACAAACAAACCAAAAAAAAAAAAAAAAAAAAGAAAAACCCTCCTCTTGATTAGTGTTCCTCTGTGGTTTCAAAGAGACTCAGGAAGAGTGAGCGTCAGACTTAGAACCCGTGTTTACCTACAGACGTGTTTGCACCGCTACATTTGTTCAAGCATTTGTGAACAAATTTGCCTAAATCCAAATGTGCTTGTTGTCTGCTGCCATCTGTAAACAAAAGCATCTGCAAACCTGTTTATCTGAACGTGCACGCGCCTGCATACGTGTGTGCACGTGCGAGACAGTTTGTCATGAGTCCTTAAGCCATGTGTATGTTTTCATGAGATTGGTGTGTGTGTGTGTGTGTGTGCGTGTGCGTGCGTATTTGTGTGGAGATAGCAGTGACAGCTGGCCCAGTCCCAGATAGTTTAGAAGGCAGTGAGAGTCAGTCTGTCTGAAGCCTCAGCCGCGTCAGTCTAACACTAGCTCTCACACACACACTCTCACACACGCGCGCAAGTGGACACACTCAGGTGCGTCTGTCAGACACCCAAGCTGCCCATTTATTGTTTTTTTTGATGTTGCTGATCTGTGCGTGCGTGTGTGTGTGCGTGTCCATGTCTTGAAATGAGTTTTTATTTTTCCATATTTCACACATAAACATTTCCTGCTGTTGCTGTGAAGTTAAAGCACTGTTGATGGAGGTATGCAGCCTGGCCTGCACACAAAGCCACATGCATTCTTCTGCAGGTCCAGAACTTCACTCTGAAACATTAGACTCACACAGGCAGGACGTTTCACCCACATGAAAAAAAAAATAAAATAGGGCTGTATTTATTTTATAATATACTCAATTTTTCAGCAAAAAACGAAAAAAGAAAGTCTTCTCGTTTGTGTAACTACATACAGCACCAGGTTTTAAAAAGGTAAATGAAATTACTTTTAAATGACATCATTGATTGAGTGCGTCTGGTATAAAACCCTGAATTGAAACGCTGTATAAATGATATCATCTGTGATGTGGAATAACGGCAGTGGTCTTGTGAGAGCGGAGCTGTTCTGCATTAAAAATAATCCACTTTCACTGTGGCTCCATCAGAGCTCCCTCTGTGGTTTGGTAGATGTCAGTGTGCAGCTTAAAACAAACAAACAATAATGTAGAAAGTCATAAATGTAGATGCTGGAAAAATTAGCTTTATCCCTAATGCGGTTGACTGGTGTAATTTAGTGAAACCCAACACCGGCAGAGAGCTGGCTGGATGCAGTACCTGGGATGTTCTGTGACCGCACGCCTTTATTTGCATACACTTGATTTCCCTTTTCATCACCGACTTCATTTACAGCCCGCGCTCCTCTCCTCTGTTTTTTTGGCGTGCAGGTATTTACAGGTGAAGGCTGGCTGTCTTTCATTCTCTCTCTCTCTCTCTCTCACACACACACACAGAGCGAGCTAATTAACCCTTCTCTGCCCCTACTTCTATTATCCTGCCTTCTCTTACCACAGACTGGCATACAGTTACAGGGCCTTAATTCTCCTCCTTGGCAGGGAGGTGCATCGTTCCTGTGAGACAGAATACCCCATGCCAGGCTCCTTTCAGCCCAGTGTGTAACTCAGCTTGAGTTTGCAGGGCCTCCGTGAGCGCCTCTTCCTGTTCCACAATACGCCGTGGCGAACCGCGGCTCAGATTAGCTCCCAGCTCAGCCTGGTGCCCCTCGGTGTAAAGCTTTTTTTTTTTTTTTAATTCCGTGCCAGAATCCTGCAGCCGCTCATCCCCCTATATGCACATAACTGCCCTTTATCTTCCTGTATTAGCATCACATTAGCATATCTGTTTTTCACCTATACGTTTGCATTTCTAATATTCTCAGTTTGAGACGAACAGTAGAAAGTTAGAGTTTTCTCTCCTTCCTCTGAGAAACAAGACAATGGTATTTGCAGGGGCAGTTCTTCTGTGGGGGGTGGGTTGGTGGGTTGGTGGGGGGGGTCACTCTGCTTTTCCACATCGTTCTCAGCAGCAGTCTGTGCAGCTTCATGCTTATGAAACTGGAGAGGAATGGAAACACTTTCCCCCGAAAAAAGAACTAAACACTCAAAATTTGTCCTTCGTTATGGGCCTGAATCACTGTGTTTTCCACGAGTCAGGCTGCGGGGGTGTGTGTGTGTGTGTGGGGGGGGGTTAACCAGAGTTTACAGAGGACAGGCACACAGTGGCTCCCTGCTAACCTTTGGGGTGGCAGCATTACAGCTTTATTCTTAGCTCCCCGTTCCAGGGTGTCTGTGTCTTGCGGAAGCCGTCAGCTGCCAGGCCCGATGATTGGACCACAGCCGTCTCTGCCGCCGTCTCCGCTGCAGCCTTTCCCATTGATGCCTCCGTCACTTTGCTGCTGGGCCGCGGGTTTGGAGAGCTCTGCTTTCAAGCAGCGAGATTGACAGAGCAGGGAATAGACACACACACACACACACACACACTAGTGTCTCTCTCTCTTTCAGTATGTGTCTCTGCTTTTGTCCAATTATAGACTTTGGCCTTTCCAGGCCGGGCAGTGAGGGCTGGGACAGATCAAAGCAGCTGTTCTCTGATCCTCACTTCTGCCGTGCAGATGCAAAGGTTCCACCGCGGCGTGAACGTTGGCCCCGTGGTTATCCTCTGTCAGCTACCTGGCCACACACAGATAGAAGACCTGATCAGATGTGTGTGTGTTGATCAGTCCTGGTCCACACCACTTCAAAATGCTGTCTCTCTCTCTCTCTCTCTCCCTCTGTTTTTTTCCTTTAATTCCTGTTCTGCTGCATCTGGCCATGATGATAAATAATGGTTCAGGGCTGTGGAGGAAGTCGGCGAGATGGTGAACGAGGGAGGGGTCCGATCAGGGTCTTTGATCACTTGTCTGTTGAAACCACAGTCTGTCTGCTCTGCCAGGCTCTCGTGGGCCGCGCTCCACCTAGAGAGACCCCAGAGCCGGGTCAGGTTTTCTGTGAGCGACGTGTTCCATATTTGTGGGCCTGATGAATCCTCGCAGCTCCGGCGTGTTTGGAGGCTGCGTCGTCACATACGGCTTTCATTACCGGCTCTATTATGACAAAAAGATGTTTTCTGCGAGCGCGGCCGCCATATTTGTTCTGTGTGCTGTGAGACAGACAGAGCGGAGAGGTGCCAGGGCCAGGTCTGAAGCCAAATCTGCCTGTGTGTGTGTGTGTGTGTGTGTGTGCACTCTATCTCCCTGCTGCTGCTGCTGTGAACCTAAGATACTCATTTTCTCATCAATGTGTCTCTGAGGTGACAAACGGCCCACAGAAGATCTTTTAATAGAGGCGGACAAAGAGAGGGACGGACAGGGAGACAGACGGGCGGACTGAAGGACTTAACGCCTCTGTGTCGCACTAATCTATCAAACACATCTTATCTGCTCGGCCCAATATCCTGGGCTTCAATAGGAGGCAGCGTTATCGCACGCAGTTACATAATGAAGAAGACACTGAGCAGGACGGAGTGGGATTGTGTTTATTTTCAAATACCACACATTTGAGTGTGTGTGTATGTGTGTGTGTGTGTGTGATTGTTGGTAGAAGCCAAACAATGATGCTAGTGTTTGTGCAGAGAATTTACTGTAAGAGCCGACGATCAAATCTGGAGTTATATTTCCATAATGTTTGGTTATTTTGTTCCGCCGCTTGACGAGTGTTCTCCCTAAATCTTCCCTGTTCCTTGGCTGGGTGTGTGTGTGTGTGTGTGTGTGTGTGTGTGTGTGTGCGGAGTGGGGAGCTCCAGTGTTCTGGCACTGGTCTTTAATCCCAGGCCGACAGAGAAATGGAGAGCGGCGGCGCCGGGGGAACCGCGTTTATCTGGTGTGAAAAATACTTTTCGTCTGACACTTTTGGAGAAAACTCCTCCGCGCCCCGTCGTCCAGGACGACGCGTCCGGTGGAGGTTCAGCGTCAGTGACATCATCGGTGACACGGCGGTGTTTTTTAACATCGACAAAGACACGGGAGCCTCCAGCAGCCTGAGCTTGGCCTGTTGTCAGAGCCCCCGGTTTTTCCATTTACTTTTTCAGTGTAAGTGTGAGTGTGTGTGTGTGTGTGTGTTGTAAAAGTAGTAAAAAAGACGAGCGGTGTTCACGGAGTGTAAGGAATCACTGGTAAACAGATGATCCGACTTCAGTCTGAATCCTAAAAAGACGTCCGCCGTCACAGACTCACACTCTGACTCCTCCGTTCACCTCCTTCCATTTGCTCCTCCTAACGTTCCACTCCTCCATAGGTCCGACCGCCCAGAGGCTCAGTGGGTTTGGTGCCGAGCCAATCTGCTCCATTTTCCACGTAATTATTCAGTTTAGTGAATAATACGCACAGAAGAATTAAATCTAATTTAGAAATAAAGGTTAGCCGTTAGCCTCGTAGCACAGAGCACCTTATTCCCTCTTATAAACATGGATTAGCTTTATTTGGTAATTTCACTGTACAGTGATTTTAATTGTTTGTTTAATTAAGGTTAAAAATAAATCAGGTTGCGGTTCCTGTTCTTGAAATCCAGGCAGACTGTGTTCGCTTTTTTAATTTGTTCATTAGAACGGAAATCAATTCATCAGGAAATTAAATTACTTAATAACATGCATAAGAGCGGCCATTATGCATTTTAACAAACACGTGGAAATAAAACGGACCATTCAGAACTGGCAGGGTTTTTTTTTTCTGGCACTCGCCGTTTATTTAGTTTTGTTCCTTCCTCCTCCTTCAAAAGGACAAAACGGCAGAAATATGCAAACACCCCCCCGCC